TATATATATATATATATATATATATATATATATACCGATTATAATATAATAAATACTGTGTAAAAAATTTACAATTTGTCTTATTACAAGATAAATGCTTTACAAACTGGAAATAATGACTTTATTCGCAAACATATATGCTATCTCTAACAACTAAGATTCATTTTTCTCTGTAATAAATAATGTCTATGAAGAGGAGGATGAGGAGGACGAACCAATACACGTATTCTTTCACGTACACGTGGTACATTAACTCAAGTATTTAACATAACCGATAACAATAGAGATGGCAAAGAGTGGATGCGATAAAAAATTAATCACGATATGTACAGAGCACATCATTTTATCGTATTCTGTATACTTTTTTTTTCTTAAATAAAATCAGAACCACGAATGCATCAACTAAAAGATGATGTCAAAAGTGGTACATTTTACTTGCATAAATAAAAGCAATGATGAAGCCATGTACCATAAATATGTCCGTCTGTGAATACGTGATTTGTATCGCGTATCCAATCAATCAATCACGTATCCAAGAAACGTTTGTATGAAAAATGTAACATATTTTAAAGACTGTTATTCAGGTCGAGACGTGGCCTTTTACTGCGTACCGTAGATGCATCATCTTGGGAATCCCCATTGGTAGACAAGAACTCTCTTTTTCTATCTGCATTCTATAAAGTTTCATATTTGTGATTAAAAATATCACGGTAAACACGTATTTAATAAAAATATTTATAGCGATATACTTAATTACTAAATAATATTATAACTATATATAGTGTTGGATAAAAAATGATAAAGCACTCCTCCCTATCATATCAATCCCTTTGTACCTGTATAATTTAAAATAAAGTAAAAACAAAGCTTTGACGGATTTAGTTCTACATAACGTGCAATGAAATATATTATAATTACAGTTTAAATAAATTTGTTAAAAAGAGTGATACAAGTAAAATATTTGAAAAGACAAAATAGCAAAATTTACTCTGTTATCTTCGTTGGAAAAAAAAAAAAGAAAATATAGAGGTACATAATATTCATTAATAAAAATAATATAATTTTTGGACGGTCCAATTCTGGACGTTTGGAAATATTATTTTTTTACAATCTCTAAAAAGAAGAAAGGATTTTGAGTTGTCCATATGATAAAAGAGCTAAAATAAGTAGGTGCTGATTACAACCAAATTTAACAGTAGTTACGTAAAAAGTAATAATTATTTCAAATTAATTATAAAACTAACTCAAAACTGTAATGAAGAAAATTATACGTTTCAACGCAATAATACAGGTAGTCAGACTGCAAGATTGACACATCAATTTTACAGAAAATGTGTGAAAAACTTGACAGAGCTACATTCAAAATGAAAAGCATTACTAATGTTGGCGACGTGAAAGTTATAATTTTATATATCCTGAGATTCTGAGATCAAGAAGACCCAAGGATTAAGATCGTGTAGCAAGCAAAATATTTGAGTTTACCTAATAAAATGATCAAGGTAGCTTAGAATAAAGGCGGATCTGTTCGTTACTAATATGAAAAGTATACTAGTTTTATTTAATTACAATGTTCTCTTGCTCTTCAAAGAATCTTATCAATTTTGCCCAACTCAAAATCCTTCATTTTGTTCAAATTAAAACGTGGTTGTCGAATCACCAGTTTATTTTACATATATATTTTAATAATTATCTTTCTATTCGTTACGTTACGCCGTTTAATATACACGGAAACTTGTATCCCAGTACGTCTCATAGCGTCTTTACATTTTGCAGCAGTATACACATATGTGTTCCACGTGCTTTTTACCTTCTTATCCCATTGATGATGAAGATACCTCAATAAAATGGTTGTCTTTTCAGTAACTATAACTGTAAACATAAAGAAATTAGCTAATGTATGTATTGGAGAATATATATCTCATACTATAATTACTTACTTTGTTCGGAAGGGTAATCTTTAGTAGGAAGATAGACCGATGGTCTTTTGACACATGTCCGATTTCCGTTATCGGTATGAAAATTTGCAAAATTGTTTTCATCGTGTGACGGAAGGCCCTTTAGAAATTCAGCAACAGACTACAAAGAGAGTTTCATACGAAACTCATGTAAGAGCAAAGTTCGATAATATTACGTTACATTTAGGTACCGTGGGAAAGATAAAGCTTAGCAACTCTGAGAACATTTGAGACTTTGCAAAATATGTATTTCTCTCGATATAAACATTCCTCGCACGCACGCTTGCAAGATCCGAGGTATAATATAGTAGAATATACGTGTGAACAATAAAAAAATTAAGTAGCAATTTACACAGTTAAAGAATCATTTCTCACCATTATAAATAGATGATCTGTTGGCTGCAAGATTCGAGATTATTCACATAAAAAAAAGATTTTTAGGCGACCAACGTGATACGAGACGTACGAGACCACCATCGTCTGTCGTCAATCGCCATAAAAAGCCATAGAATATCGCACTCGATGAGAAGGCACTCGCGAACATCGTTTTATGCCTCTTACCCTCTTATACATATGGAGGATTCACACTGCGTCCGATGTTCGACGTACGACGATCCGACATCCAATAGGAAATTTTTGTCTCTAATAATAAATTCTGTTATTGGATGTCGGATCGTCGTACGTCGAACATCGGACGTGATCGGACGCAATGTGAATCCTCCAATACATACGGTATACATATATGTGCAATATATATATATATATGGTAATTATACAGTTTAGTATTACATACATACATACATACACAGGCCGGTATATTCATATAAGTCGGATCTTATATTTAATTATTAAAACCCGTACATACACTCACAATTTCGCAATATAGCTGATAGCTGTTTGCAGGTTAAAGGTGAAAACACTATTTTTCGACGAGTTTCGGAACACACATTGTAACATGGCTCCTACACACAGAATACAGATACAGAATGCTGTTAGTTCATGTTAGTTACCGGGGCTACCGCATTCTGTGTGTAAGAGCCATTATTTATTGACACTATTGACAGTTGACAGTATTGACACAACTGGATCAACTGGATGTAATATTAATTGTCATTGTCAAGTATTGCATAGATAGAAAATGAGTTGTGTATCACATCACGTGTAGATCATTCGAGACAGATGTTATTTTGCACGATTGAAGACACTATCACACAATATTATGTCTATTATGTACAATAGTGGCTGGAATAAGTTAATTAAAAGTAAGGACAGTTACAAATGTCAGCCTAGAGCCAATGTTGAAAAGGAACGTTGCACAGCTAGGCTCAGTTTTGTACAAATGTCTTTCGATCGTGACGAAGACGCCCTGATTGTAGTCGACACCAAAGGATACTTATACTACATCGAATTGCCTGGAGCTGGAGATGTTCCGTGTTGCAAAATACTGGGCAAAATCGGCCGACCTACCTTTCTGGCATTTAATCCCATGTGCACGGAGGAAATACTGATAGGATTCGATACCGGTGACATAAAGGTTTCGAAGCTTCATACGGACATGAATGAGTTTTGTTTGTTGTCCGGCCACAAACTACCACCGACACACGTTTCCTTTTACAAGCATCATTGTCTAACGAGCTCTCGAAACGAAGTAATAATATGGGATCTGAAATCTTATATCAAAGCTCATCAATTAAAAGTTGGGGTACGGAACACTATCAAGAAAGCTGCCTTCTCAAACGTCGGTCATATCGTCGTGCTCTATCACAACGACACCATGCAGGTCTGGACCATGAGACAGTTGCACAAGGATACCAAAATTGATACAAAGATATTTGGAATAAATTATATCAAAGATTTTATCTTCACGAAAGATGGAAGAGCTATGATAATGGGTGGTATGAGAAACATAAGCATTCTTAATACATACGATTGGAGTTTATTAAAGAAACTAAGTTTGCCTAATACGTTTGTCGAAGCAAAACAATTATCGGTCATTCCCGGCCCATTAGAGGGTGGAGCAAATAAAATCCTTGCATTTTTATCCTCGAAATGTACTCTTCAACTTTGTGATATAAATGCATTAACTTTTCTTGAGATACCTCGGCCTATTGGTAGGATTAAAAAATTTGTAATTTCATCTACCGGTAGATACATGGCGTATATAGATCAGGAAGGATGTTTAAATATTATGTACACGGATAAAATAATTTCGAAAAACGGTCCTCAACCCGACAACAGGTTCGTAAAGCCATATAGAGTGCGTGGGCACGAATCGAGTCATCACTTGGACGGCGTTAGACAAAGCATGAAGCAAGAATTAAATATGAAACGATTAATGCTTATTTTGAGGGAATTTGGAGAATATCCGCAAAAGTATCGTACAATAATTTGGTCCACTATTTTAAAATTACCAGCTAATAAAAACGCATATGTTGCCTTGGCAAGTAAGGTGACGCGAGGGAGATTTGCCGTGAATACTTTAAAAAGTCTTCCCTTGGCAGATAAAAGCAAAGCGTCATTGTTGGCCATGACGCTAGCGTGCTTGTTGCAATGGTGTCCTCCGCTACGACAGAGTCTGTTTCTTCCTAACTTAATTTTCCCATTTCTTATGGCATTTCAGGTATGTACCTCCTTATTTCGCGTTTCAAACCAGATATATTTTGTTCAATTTAGAATGCTTTCTAAAGCATGCTGAAATATGTTTATTTGTTTCAGAAAGATCCCTTACTTGCCTTTGAGTTGATTTTAAGTATACTACTAAACTATTGTCAAAAGTGGTTCGAATACCATCCTTTCCCACCACTGAATATTTTGGGAATTTGTGAGAATATTCTCCTAGAGACTGACCCTATGCTATTGAATATCTTTTGCGAACATGGAATCACAAGTAGGGAATATGCGTGGCCATTACTTCAAACTGCGATGAGCGAGGTACTATCGGGAGACGAGTGGTTGTTTTTGTGGGATCATCTAATATCTTATCAAAAACCTTCCCTGCTCGTGATGTGTGTCATTGCGTATAATATCTGTTTGAGAGACACGGTAATTTCTTTAATAAAGTCATCTGGAGATGTCAAAGCATTTTACAGCACCCAAAGTCATATTAGAGCCAAAGATTTGTTAGAGATTGCAAGAAAAATAGACCAGAAGATATCGAAACGAGTGCATCCTACGCGTTATCTGAGGTAATATAGAAGACACATCGTAATATCATAAAAGAGCTAATGACACGTTGGAATATTAGTATTTAAAATTATTATTTCAGGGATAAACTATCGCACGTAAATCACAGTGGACCTTATCCTTCATTTATATTGCAAGAATATCCAAAATTTCTTACCGAAAACCTTAGCCGTGCAGATTTGGAAAAATTAAAAATGCAGGAACAAACGTTGCAAGAATATAATCGTAGGCGTGCAGATTTTGAAAAAAGAAACGTACATGCGGAGACTGAGGCTTTTGCAAAACAACCTCATGAAACAAGACTAAATGGTAAAATATATTTTATTCCTATATATTTTTTTCTTTCACGTCCTTATGTTTTCTCATTGTCAGTCCAATCTCAGTATTTTCAATTTAGATTATACGTTAGTCAAATTATAAATATTACAAAGAAATACGTAATCGAATGCTTTCATTTCAGAGGTACAAAAATGCTTTCAAGACCATGTAAGTAATTTCAAGTGGAACGTGCTACCAAATGCAGAAAAGGAAAAATTTTGTCATCACTCGTATAAAGATCTTGATTCGCTATCTGAAAGAAAACAGGAATGTAACCGATACAAGATTGTGGAAGATGTTAATTCAAAAAATTATAAAAAGTTGCAGCGAGATGTAACGATGCTCGAGTATGAAGTACTAAGGTTTTTGAATTCACTAAACGTTCATAAATCAGAGATGGAGATTAGTTAGAACGTACTTTTTTGCACGGCGAAAGTTTAGGCAAAATCAAATAATATTTTAATGCACGTATCACACACGAGAAATATATTTTAATTTGTTGTATATATTTTTTCTTTCCTCGAAAATTATTTGTATATTTTTATAAATCACCATCTTTACATCTTTTTACATTATAATATACAAAATATAAAAAATTTGTATATATAAATTTCACATCGTACGGATATATGCATATATATTGTATGTTATACTATATACGTGTGTATGTATACATATAGAAAAATATCTATTTTATTTCAACGTGGCAAGAAGGTACAATACAGGGCATCTTGTTGCCGTGTTAAAAACGTAAGATTTTACATTTGGTTATCTATAGACCGCATATTTGTACTTGCAAATATTGAAACGTATCTGCTAACGATCATATTGTACGAAGGAGTGGACAGGTGCGCTAAGCTTATCCCGACCTTTCAACAGAGTCAACTCCATTATTACCAAGCATTCACGTACATCAGCGCCTACCGATTTTAGTAATTGCACTGCTGCAGCCATGGAACCTTTAAATAATAAATTTTTTTACTTGATATATTATCTTTATTTATATGTATGTTCTAAACTCTAAACAATATATTTATTGTAATATAATTTTATTTTACCTCCAGTTGCCAGTAAATCATCAACAACTAGCACTCTGGTCCCTTCATTAATAAACTCTGTTTGCAATTCAAATGTAGCCTGTAAAGATGAAGAAAAGTCTATTTATATATGTCAAGTACGTTGTAATAAATTTGTAAATATATTATATATATATATACCATACACACATATTCTGGACATACCTCTCCATATTCTAACGCATACTTCTGCTGGGTGACCTTGCCTGGAAGTTTACCCTTTTTTCTAATAGGCAAGAAAGGCTTGCCCAATTCCATACAAATCATAGGACCAAAGAGGAAGCCACGCGAATCCAATCCTACAATTAAATCGACTTCGAGAACTAAAATATGCTCCACAATTAAATCTTTCATCGCTCGTAATGCAACAATATCGTGAAACACACCAAATATATCTCTGAAAATGAATTGATTACATAATAAGATAAATATAATAAAGTGAGTAGTTGGTGGTACGTAGTATAAAATCAGAATACGTTCTATCATCTTGTGTCGTTTTTGAGCTCATCTCTCTCCGTCGCTTTGTTGATCACTTACCGGAAAATAATCCCAGGTTCAGGAAAATCGGGATAACTCTTTATAGCATTTTTCAGTATTTCCAATTTATCATTCTTATCCATTGTATAATACGTGTATCCTTGATAACTTGATGTAATGGTAATAAAATGGAATGTGTCGAAATACACGTAAAATTGACAATGTGATTAAAAGAGTTCATTAATAAAGGTCTATCATATATATGATATTTCGACCATTATTCTTACATTATTGAATTATTTTATCAAGGCACTTTTAACGATGGCAAATAAAACGTGTGATACTGACGAATGAAAAAAAAAAACAGATTATTTGTAAATGTTTAAATTTCGAATTTCGAGTAACCTGCATATGCCTAGATCGCCCGCATCCAGGCATTCCAGATAATCCAGGGCAGGGGCAGGGGCAGGGATACATACAGGTTGCCGTCATCAACGTCATCTTATCTGGATCTTGGGTCTGTTTTTTATCGCTGCGCACTGAACACTGAACTGCACTGCAACCACTACAACCTACAACTTTTCTTCTCGCTTCTCGCTCTTGCCAACGTGCCAAACATATCTCACCTATCTCACTCATACAGCAATAGAAAACAGACCTCCTCAACCCCCTTCGCCCTTCACCACCCTTCACCATCACTTATCTTTATCACGCCATCACGCCTATCGCCGACTAGCAGACATTCGAATCGATTGTCGATAAAGCAAACTACCAAAAATGATTTAGACATTTGCTCGATTCTCTTGAAGATGACGCTGCATATTGTGTTTATTTTAAAAATTTTCGTGCAGAGATATACATATAACGCGAACGATAAAGCTTGAGGTAATATTTCAGATGATATATATTTTATCCTACATTTATATCAAAAGGAAAAAAAGAAAAAAGGACGGCACAAAGTATATATATTAAACAAATGTTTATTCATACTCTCATTTGTCTACGAGAAGCACACACTTGTGCACCTCTCGATATTTAGTAAACAAAACGAATCAACTGCTAGATATAATATAATAGTATGTACGTATATATATTTATTACTGTACAATAGTAATAAACGCGACGTGTTTGTAAGTATTAAAAACGATAAAAATAAACATATTTACAGTAACACGTATCAATGCGTATATGTATATGTTACAAAATGAGAAGATACCTTCCCTCCGAGTTAAACATTTGTATGTGTGTGCGCATGTGTCGAATCTATATATTATACTAAATTATTAAATATATAAAAACATTAAATGTCGAGAAAATCTTCACGTGCGTTACTCATTGCATTATTCTCGTAGAAAAAGGCTCATATAGTTGCTAAAAGTAGATAAAGTTGCTTATATTTGCTCACCTTGCATATTATACATATATTTTATCTAGATCAATCTTTAATTTTAATTTTAAAATACATTCGAGGCATATAAAAGCAAAACTTGAATCCTTTTCCATTTTTCAAAATTATTGGCAAAATTAAAGAAAAGAACATCTCAACAGATTATATGTAAAATAAAAATGTAAAATAAAATAAAAAATGTGAAATAAACATTTAATCAACTAATACATGTTCAACTGAAGTTAGTTTTTGCTTGCATACTTTTTGTCTGAAAACTCACGCAGGGTGTAAAACATGAAGAATAAATTAATGATACTCGTATCTTAACTGGAAATATTTCGTTGGAGAAGGAGAAAAAATTGCGAGTTTTGCTTCTATATCTCCATTTTTTAATTCTGCAAACAATATATTATATTCAATACCGCGGTCATCAATATCGTTCTTATTAAACTTTTGTCGTTGCCAGGAGTTTGATGTAATGAGCTTTATGGGTAATTTCAAACTCCTGAGCCGGCAGGAAACATTGCGCCTGTATTCTCGGGTGCCGCAAACGCCTTGCGAGCGTTCTCCCGAGTACAGCGAGGATAACGAGGAGAACACCGGTTGCAGCGATCACGGCCATAATGACGAATACCTCGACGTTCCGCCTGCTGTAACTCTGCTCGACTACGTCAACGCAACGGAACCTCTCGTCGTCCGCCACCAAGTTGCTGGACATAACGATAACGTTGGTGAGGTCATCCAGACTGGCGCACACCCTGTAATAACCTGGCAACGATACTTGCACGTCGATGACGGATGTGGCGCTACACGTAAGCCTCCGTTGATGCACCGTGGAAACCTCGTCAAATACGATGACGGACAGTTGGCAGCTCGTCGACGACAAAGTCGTGTCTTTTGTCGTTCCGGAGAGAACTACACCAATGTGCAGGTAGCTCTTGTCAGATACGTTTACGTGAACGCCGGTGATCCGTGACGATGAATCAAGAGATATCTGCGTGGACGTCGGAGACGAAGACGAGAAATCTTCTGTCCCTGCTCGCTGCTGGGTCTTCTCTAAAACGATGACGTCGCTACAACCGAGACCAAGGGACACCGCGTCGTAGACAGTAGATACCAATAAAACTACACAATAACGGTATTTGTGACTCAATTGTAGATGCAGGGAAGCTGGTATGGTGACTGGCAGGATGCAGGGATCTCGCATCATTCGAGAGTCACAGTGCAGCGGGCTAGATTCCGTTAGAATCTCGCTGTCGCCGCGTGTTTCATAGACGATGAGCGAGTCGCAAGTGTAACGTTCAGCGCACTGTTCCACGTGCCACAACAACGTGATACCGGCGGTCGCGTCGTCGTAGCGAAACTCTTTGAGACTTAGCTGTGCACCTGCTACAGGCGCACTTGCGTCAACCCGGGTCATCATGGGCGGGGTGGGCTCGCCGCAAAGCAGACTGCCCGGCGGTACTTGCGTTAGAATGCCGTTCTCCAGAACGGGCGGTGTCGCGCACACCGCCGATGACTTGTCCTCCTCCGTCAGGCTGGAGTTTGCCAGCCACGTAGCAAACTCCAGCAAGGTGCAATCGCAATTTAACGGATTGTCAGCGAGGGAGAGTCTCTTGAGGTGCAGCTCGGACGTTAGCACATCGTTTGCTACGATTGTGATGTCATTGTCGTCCAATCGTAGGTCCTGTAAATTCTTCAATGGCACCACCAGATCGCGCGTCAACGCTCGCAGAAAGTTGTGCGTTAGATCTAAACTAATCACGTTCTCTAAATGAGCTAAGGAAGCACCGGACACGGCGACGATGCGGTTGTTGGCCAGATCCAGTCGCGTCAAAGTCGACAGGTACTTGAACGAATGATCCTCTAACACGTCAATCTGCGAATCACAATATTTATCAACTTGTATAAAATAATTTTAAAATGTTCATAATTTTTTTCATATTACGTGAAATATGAATCATCTCTTGAACTTGGCTGTAACTTTTCAAACAAACACACTCACTTGATTGTGACTCAAACTCAGATAAGTGAGATTTCCGAGACCCATGAGAGCTCCCTGCTGAACGTTGACGAGACCGTTTTCTGAGACTGTGAGGAAATGTAGTTTGGGCATTTGTGGCAATAACGTGGGGCCCATTGGACCCAGCAGTAGATTGTTTGACAGATCTAGCTCTTCCAAGCGCTTCAAACCTCTCAATGCAGACAAGGCGGAAACGCTCAGACGATTTCCACGCATTCTTAGCGAGCGCAATGCCGGTAATGTCAGGAAAACCTGCGGCGACAATTGTGATAGCAGATTGTCACACAAGTCTAGATAAGTCAGATTTGATAGTCCCTGAAACAGAGAATGTTTTTCTTATTCTTTAATCAATCTTCTCTCGAAACTTTATGAACAATATTCATTATGTGAATAGTCGTCTCTTTCTTTTTTTATTAACAACTATTCATGTAAAAATTATAAAATACTTTATTTCACAAATTTCTCGCAGTTACGCGTACCTTAAACGAGTCCGCTTCTAATGTCTTTAATTTGTTGTGAGACAGGTCCAATCGGTCTAGACCGACCAGGTATGACAATGCGATCGTGGGAACCGAATCTAGGAGATTGCTGGGCAGTCCTAGCGCTTGTAACGGTCGCGCCAGCGCGGTAAACGCATGCTCATGAACGTGCCGCAGCTCGCCAGTGGAGACGACTAATCCGTGAAGTGCGACATCCTCGAGGAAATGTGCCGGCAACACAGAGATTCCCGTCACAGTCACATCCAGCAATGATATTGTATCCGGCTGACTATGTTTCAAATGGTCACTGATGATCTAAGAGGAACAATGGAGACAATAGAAATAATTTCTTCATTCTTTCCGTTGTGCCCGCGTTTATCTCTTTATAACGTACATCCACGTCTTTTGATTTTATATTCTTTCAATAGATTTATAAAAAAAAAAGATCATTATGAGTGTAATATTAACAAACCCACGTGATAACAGCAGGATACTCGATATAAAACAACAGATGCTATCGAGCAACATATATGAAATAAGAGATCAAGCAACCGAGAAGAGAGAAGGGATGAAAAGAGAAGCGGGCACAATGGACTCTTGAATAATAATATATGTATACGACTTGCATTTCATTGGCAGTCTATACCACCCACGCTCTTCTTGACCGTTGCTTTAAAAAGTAACGACCTCGCGTGTGCTGCGAAGCGTAACATGACATAAAGATTGAACTTGCAGCTCATCTTGCGATATTTTTTAAATTTTTTCCGAGAAAACTTTATGAAATAAAAATATTTTTGCCACGCGCCTGTTATATGATAAATAGTATTTGTCACCTGACATATAATTGACATATAATGGCACGCGCCTTTGCCGTTGTTTCGCAGTTACCTCCAGTGCTGTTCTATCGCCGGTACATCTGAGCGTATGTGGAAAATCGCAAGAACACTCCACGCCCGCTTTTGTGATATTCGGACATTCCCACACAGTGTTGGAAAAAGACGGCGACGGCGACGGCGACGGTGACGGCGACGGCGACGGCGACGGTGACGGCGACGGCGACGGCAACGGCAACGGCGACGGCGATGACGACGGTAATGCGTGGGACAGATTTTTCGAGATGCCATCGTCTTGTGTTGCCATAGTCGCCAACGGCGACACGGCGTTTTCCTTGGGGATCGTCGTTTTCATGGATGTACTATCAATGTACGTCGATGCTGCTATCAATGTAGAGATTTCCATTGTCGTTGTTGTGACCGTGTCCTCTGTCGCGTCGAGACATGACGCTGTCATTATCAATGTTAACACGAGTAGGTCCCGAAATAATTTCGGCATTCTGGAAAGAGATATTTGGGCATATTACATTTATCTGTCATCTGTCTAACAGAAAATATTTTTTTCATCATACGATCCGGACAAGTAATACTGCAAAATAAAATTTCGATTTTGTTTTTAGTTGACGCACGCAACCGCTCACCGATAATCACACAATTTAGAAATGTCAAGTTGCCAAATTGCGAGTGTAAATTACAAAATTCTACCGGTATATATCCGTGAAAAGCATATTTAAATTCCATGTCTCACGTTTATTACAACGAATTATGGCTTATCACGAGAAGTGACTTGGAAAAGCTGTTGGAACTCGAACGAAGACTGCAAGAAAGCACACCGTTAAAAAAAGGAGCTGCTTTAAATTCGGCGTTATTTATATATCTGAGGTATGTGTTGTGTGTGAAACCATCTTGCACGTGTGTGTGTGTGTATGTATATGTATATATATATATATATATATATATATATATATATATATATATATATCTTTTTCATTGAAATAATTGATTGATCATTTGAATTAACGTATTATAGATATCGCAATATTGTAAGAAGACTCATCATGTGTTACGATCAAATGGTCCAGACACAGAAACGGGAGTTAATTAAGAAGATGTTAGAATGTGCCATCGGGCGAATGCTAGAATATAAAAAGGAAATTGTGAAGCTCGATTATATGGATTATCAGTACGTTTTTCGTTGCTCATTCACGTAGCATCAATTTATAAAGAAATACTATCTGCACAGATGGCCTGACGATATTTTGAATCAAATGAAATTCACGCCGGACGACATCGAGCTGTTTGCCGCGGCGTCTGGCCGAGAACGTGTAGAGGAACGCATCAAGTTTATTCAAGAGTTGATAGAGAGTGCTCACAAAGGTCCATAGCTAGTTTATCATTTCTTATCGATAACAAAATTTTGTAATGTTGAAAGAAATCTATTAGTGTATTAATTGAATTAATTGAATTTTATAATATAATCTATATAAATTTAATTGAAAAGTTTAAATAAATTTTTTAAATTTCATCGTCTAGTACCACAGACGAGAGAACGCAGCCTTTCACAGATACATATTGAGAGTATGTCCGAGATGGAAGATCAGACATTGAAGACGCGCGCCGCTCGAAGAAGAATGCGCATCATGCAACCCTCGAAGGTAGAGTTAATCCGCGAATCGCCCGAGGAAAAAGCTGCCCGAGAAGCGAAGCTTGCTGCTGAAAGAATTATGCGTAGCGCGATATTATTGATACAGAGTCATGAGAGAGCCAGAAAGGGACGCTGCTACGGTGCAGATGGTATTCGCAAAAAAATATATATAGTTTCCTTTGTAATACAATCTCTGTAGTGGCATAAAAAAAAAGTAATGTTGATCAGATATCTAACAACTTTTTTACGATTGCCTATTAATTATTGATGCTACGTTCGTAGTGAAACGTATATACGATTACAATAAAAAAGTGAGGTTCGGAGAGATAATACCGAGAAAAATCGATCGCATCAGATACATCAAGTCAGCGGTGACGATACAACGCGCGTGGCGACGTTATGCCTCTCGAAAAGCTATGAGAAAACGAATCGCGCGTCTCGAGGATGCTTTGGGTATGACGATACCAAGCTGGCAATGCCGCAAAACACGCACGAAGGATGATGATAACTTTCAACGGCGACGTGCTCTGATGCCCGTGTTCGATGCACACACGAAGAAGGCGATCAGCGATGAACGTACAAGGGTAAATTTTCCAAACAGACGTTCCGATTTATTGCATTATCATGAAAGAAAGACGAATAAAAGAAAAATATAAAAATAAAATTAGGGAAAAAAAAACAAATAAAAAAGAAATAATTGGATCAAGATTTAAAAAGCAACTAATTTTCAAAAGCTCCTGAAAGTCAGAGGCCCCGGATTAATGGAGGACATCACTGATGAGATTCATGAGTGGTTCGTCGTTTGGTACAACGCGTTAGGACATTACGATGTGTTTCCGGCGGCGGATTTTGGTGGCAGCGTGCTGATCGTCACCGGGCAGACCTCGACGCCGCAAGAATATCTAATGGAAAAATTAGAAAAAGAGAAACAAGCCAAGGCAAAGGGCAGAAGAGCTGAGAAAATGGCACCGCGTCCCAAAGCTGAACCTATCAAGAGCCAAGTTCCTGGTTGGAAAATGCCGCAAACAGATGCTCTCTCCTGCTTGGAAGAAGCAAACATCGATTTCATTCGAAACTGGAGTTTTCGCAGCGAAAAACCTTCGGAGCGAGAATATCTGGATTTGATCACCGAGAAACTCTGTTATGAGTTGCAGCTCGAAATGAGGGAGATAGTAGACGACGTGATGAGGGCCGAGCTAGACGTACTAAACAAAGCATTACTGAAGGATCACGCATATGATAAAGAGAAATTCACGATTCCAACAATGGACAAAAGTGATGGATAAGAACTTGTTTAATTAAGACGTTTGCACACTCATTATCTATCATGTTTAAATAAAAATTCGAAATTTTGATTACGTGTTATGACACAGATATTGACAAAACCGGAACGAAGAGAAAAAAGGACATTTTGGAGGATGTGGCCGTCGAGGATCTCTTCAGCGAGCTTCTACGAGCAAAAATCATTAGAAACTACCCAACTATTTTCTTACGTGATTGGTTTGGCGATCTCTCCTATCAAAATTACGAGGCACGTCGCGAGTTCCGGGATTTCAAGCATCGGCTCGGAGAGGTAAAGCAGCTCGTCTTGGAGTATTGCATATTGCCTTTAATTTCCAAAGGGACACATCAAGTTGCACCGCTTGTGCGTTCTGTGTGTATCTATGGATTACCGGGAGCTGGAAAGACTTCGCTTGCCAATGTCATTTGCTCAGAGGTGACTTCTTCCCCCCCCCCCCTCTCTCTCTCTCGTGTATATCTTCCTATTGTACCTATTATGTTAAAGATATTGAAAATATGTTACTACGATTTAATTTTTTTTTAATTCTTTGTAATAATTTATGATAATTAAATCATAAATTAAAATAGAATGTATTCTTGATTTATTTCTTTCAAAGATTGGCGCATTACTTTTCGATGTATCAGCACCTGTCTTGACTGGTAAATATATGGGCAAGGAAAAGCAACAGAGGCTCATCGACATAATCTCTAAAGTGGCCCGCGTTTACGCGCCTTCTATAATATTTCTCGATGCTGGCGAGAAACCTTGGTTGAAAAAAGTTCCACCAGAGGAAAAGTACCTTCAACACAAGCGATTCGCAAACTATTTTGTTAAACTAATGAAAGGCATCAAGTCGGGAGACCAGGTAAAGCTGTAAAGAAAGAAAGAGAGAGAGAGAGAGAGAGAGAGAGAGAGAGAGAAGGGGGGGAGAGAGATTGGAAAACAATCCTTTTTTTACTCTCTTACGTGTTCTTTTTCTCTCATATGATTTGTTTTTTATTAATCGTGCGATTGTTCTATCTATATCATTCTCAACACTTCGTAGTATAATACGTATAAAAAGATCCTTAGCCATTAGAAATATATATCGTGGGAACTCCGGAGTAACACTCCTAAATTGGAGGACTGTATCAAAGCATACGCAATCGAGCAACGCCCACTTAGTAAAATTCTTGTTATTCCCGTTTGAGTTCTTTCTTTAATATGAATGAATAGCCGCCACCTCGACGAGTCGCATACACGGGACTCTCTCTCTTTCTCTTTCTCTTGCGTCGTTCAGATCTCTCATCTCGATCGCTCGAGGTTGCTCATCAATGAAACACCTCCTACCTGTATATATGGCCGCCGTGTGAGGACGTAGGTGGCGGCAAGTTAACGTAGGATTTAGAGTGTTGAAGATTCCGAACACAGATACTGTTACTTACGGGCGCAATACTATAGAGATTGAGCAGATCAATATTTACTTGAAAAATTAATACATTTTTCGTTCTATTAAAACTTTTAAATTTGTATAAGACGTAAAACATAACGTACTAGATTTATTAGATCATCTAGTACTGAGAGAATATCAAGCACATAAATGAAATCTGATTTTCATTACGCTACGTATTATTAATATGACGACGTTATCCAACAGATACTATTTCTTTCGCTGTCCGAAGAACCGCAGAAGGCGACAGCCGGTTTCAACAAGTTCCATGATAAATTTATAAGGGTGCCTACCACCGATTACAACACACTTTATATGTACTATAAGAATCTACTAATGAAATATCACGGCGTCGATCGCGATATCGATGTCTCCTGTTTGGCCAAGATGTCTGTCGGGATTCCTCTGAATTTTATCCGGCAAGCCGTAGAGAAGGTGTTATCGTTGCGTCGAAGAATTACTCTTAAATTCAATCCGTTAAGTCCGATAGAAATTATGAATGAGATATTGACGTATCAGTATCCTACGACGGAGATGGTGGAGAGTCTCGATAAATTTGAAAAACTCACTCTATCTGCCAGAAGAAAAACCAAAGTTTCGTAAGAAGGATGCTTGCGATTGAACGCGAAAAGATGACGAGTTTGTTTGTCGGATATAAATGTAGGTATCGTAAAAGTTTCGCTCAATATAAAAATATATTCATATTATAAACATTTGTTTCATCACAATGTAGCCCATAAGTATAAAATGTATATCTATTTTATCTGTTACAGAAAAAAATGGAAATATTTTATTTAAATGTTACGTTAAATATTCTTGTGTAGGAAAGACAGATATTCATGAATGACTACATTATGCGTGGAGAACGCTGAAGATAAAATACGTACCTCTAATGTATAATGTGCCAGTCTCGAGCGTGTTGCCAACCCTTGCACCCTCCCACACACCTGACCTCGGTCTCAAAGCGAAGGAGGAACCCAGTAGCACCCACGCCGGTCAAGTGTTTGCGAGTGCATCGTGCACGCTCTACTATATCAATGAAGAATCAATCCTCGAGACGTCGGACGTTTCCTGGTATCATATCCCTTCTTCGAACGTCTGCGTGGATCGTTCTTATGTCCTGTCACGTTTGATGATATTGCGATGGTTAAAAGCTCGACCCTGCGTACTCTTTGGTACTTTATCCCTCGCGATATTGTCGCATACGTGTCGCGAGTTCTTTCCGCTAGGAATCTCCGCTAATAGCACAACGTGACGATCTCAACATCCACGGATGATCGTTGAACGCCGTTCACCAGGATATACACTGTCACATATATTCACACGTACGTCATCGGACGTGAACTCTCATCGAATCACGTGGATCAACGGGCATCGCATCTTCGAAGGAAGCGTGCGGTGACACGAATGCTCGAACAATAATACTAGGATGATCGTACGAATGATTGTACGATATGCGTGCTGCGAGGCACGGTGCGTCAGGAGCATGCTCGGGAACCGTTTCGAGAGACGAGAAAACGTCGCCTCCACCGTCCACACGGTGGGGACTCCCCCGGTCCATGTCGGTCCGTCCGCCTCTCTGTCTCTTGGTTTCCACATAGCATAGCCATGTATGGAACACGGGACGACGTTCTCTCTCCCGGCCCTTACGCCCACTTGCCATAGTCGCGCTCTCCGTACCGGCTCTCCACCGGAGCTGGAGCAGGTATCGTCACGATTGACAACAGCGAAAATGAGAACAACAACGGAAAAAGAGAAACCCCTTAAAATGCCAAACAGCGACGTTTTTTCTAACACATTTTGAAAATCTTGAATTTTGGCATATCAAAAACTCTGACAAATATTCTAAAAACTAAAAACGTCAACGAACTTGATTAATCAGAGGAGATGATTAACAGGTTCTTAACTTTTCAATTCGGCTAATAAGAAAATACTTTTTGTAAAATAAAAATCCTTGTATTTTCCACTTACATGAAATGACACACGTCTTTCCATCTAATTATTAATGTATCCGCGAAAAGTATGAAAAGTAGTACCAAATGATCCTCGCATGTGCTGTTTTCGTATGCATGAGAATCTGAAAGAAGATCAAGCAGAAGCGGACGAGAAAGAGAGAGTAGGTAGGTAGATAGGTAGAATGGTAGGGGCCCCCGAAGGTCTTCAGGATCCTCACGAAATGCCTTTTGATACTGGAAATCTGTTTGCCATCGTCATTACGAAATCACGTAAAACCGGGCCTCTACGCCCACGCTGTAGCAAGAGACTGGCATAGTCGCAGTGAAAGAAAATCCAACTTCTTTAACAAGCTCGAGATGTTTATAACACGCCAGAACGTGAACATTGTCTAAAAATCAGCATAAAAATTCGATATCGCACAAAATCGTGATACTTTAATATCACGAACGTAATTCTTGTAATTTTACACGTATAATAGACGTGTCTTGATTGACTTTCTAACGAAAATGGCAAAAGTTTTTTATATCGTAACGAAAAATTAAGTAATAGCACGATTGACAGTCGGAATTTTAAGGTTCATTGTATGCAAATCAGGAAATAAAACGGTGCTTGTATATAAAGAATTTCATCTTAGATAACAAAGATAGATAGTATATTGCTAGTGCCGGTGATGATTAACTACAGATTCATTAAGTCGACTTAACTGGCGACGAATATAAATCATCGTCCTGACAATTCGACTATTTGGTTTTGGTTAGATTAATCGCCAAAACATTTCGATCATAGGTTTAGATCCTTCTAAAATTGATGTACGTTTGAAGATATATGTATATATATATATATACACCAAAATCCATGGTCGAATTGTCAGGACGATGATTTATATTTGTCGTCATCAAGTCGAATTAATAAATCTGTTATTTAATCTTAGACATTTTAAGAAATTAATAATATCCAAAAGTCAAAGCACATTCTATACTATCATTGTTAACGTAGTATTGCTTAGAGTAAGATATTTTTAATATTGTACTCTCAAAAAACAAGATTTATTTGACTCAGAAAAATAATACAAATATGAATGCAATAAATTTTAGAGAATATTAATCAATACGAAAGGTTGGGGTTAAATAAAAATAATAACTCTAATGAACGTGTTTTGCAGCTTCAGATTATTCAATCCCACGATCAAAGTTCATTACTAATGCTTGGTTGTGAACGGCGAGTGTTTTTCAAGATCGCCACGTCAAGTCATAAGATTCCGTGAAAGACGATCGTTCGCACGATATACTGTCCAAGGATTGTGTGCTTGCACAAAAAGCTGTATTCTCTGAACTGGCTGTATTGGAACTATATTGATTGGTTGATTGACCTCTCTGCTTCGCACGTTTATGTCTGCTCACAATACAGTTACGTTATAGTATAATACGAAAAGTATGTCGAGGGTGCCGTACGTCTCATTAAAGTTTTTGACAAAAAAATTTAATTAAGGAATTTGTAAACAAAAGTATGGGAAACCGTAATATTACCATGATTATAATTTCTTACGTGGTTCACAAAAAAGTAGAAGAGAAATCATACTGGTTATATATATAAAACATTTTTATACGATTATTATACGATTATTATACATTCTATTTATATTGTATTTTTGTGCATTGTATTAAACAATTTTGCATACTGTATTTTTGTTATACAACTTACATAGTAATATAAAAATAAGAAAAACGTTATTATGGCATCGAATATGAATGATTGCACGATTATTTACAATATTAATCATTAAAAAATTTATTTTATTTCCAACTTGAACTTGAATATTGCAAGGAAACAACGATATCTTCGTCAAAAGCTCAATCAGAAGCCTTTTCATTCTCGGTCATTAGATTATTTGAGCCTCTTCCATTATATCAATATAATCCTTGACATCATTCATATACCTCCGTAGGAACTTATGGTCTCTTTTTACATTTTTAATTAAATTTTTAATGTCTGCTTCTCTGTAAAAAAAAAAAAAAAACCAATTTTATCGAATTTGTAAATTATTATATTCCGAGCTATCTCTTTGTGAACACTTACTTTATTTTACCCAGTAGACAATGAAGACTGATATCATTCAAAGTGAGTTTATCAAACTGTTTAACTTTGATCGTAACTCTCAATATAATGTCCATCCGTTTGCTTCGAGAGACGAACGAAATTCTAAAATAAACAACGTGTTACACGTTTGTCAAGTCGATGTATATGTATGTTGATTACAATATTTTAAATACGTATGTCGTGTATGGTGTAACGTAATATGACACGATTTAATGTAAATTTGTAACGTATTACTCGTCATAAGTAATCTCCATTAAGTTCAGGTCATCCAAACGCCTCAAATCGAACATGAAATCCATCGCTAATTTCACATCTTGTGAAATTAACGTTAACATCGGAAGAATGTCCTGATGAGTTTTATACACGTTTGTAAGTATTTCCACGTTTATTTTCTCTAGAATTAATTTGTGAACTATCCTTATTAATATTCCTGACTCATCTATCACAAAAAGAGACATAAGATTAAAATTATTGTAATTTTTTATCTTTTAATTAATATTTGTATACGTACCTGAAACGCGAGAAATAATCTTGATTTCTTTAATTAAATTTTCTTCGGAGTCATTAAAATCATATGACAAGAATGTCGCTATCAATAATGAATTTGACATGAAACCAAAAACGATCATTTTCCTATCGATATTCTTATAGTGTACATTCCAAATGCAATCTTCCCTATAACGAAATAACATTAGGTCCCTTTAATCTTTTTCGATAGTAGAAGATGTAATAAAAATATACATGTACCTTACGGCATGCGTTTCTAATTTTTGCGATAGTGTTAAAAACGGATTTTGTTCGGTCAAAGATCCATCATCAACATCCTCAATCGTATTATATCGTGCCGTTACGAGCTTTTTAATTGCACCGTCGTTTTTTTGTTCCATACATTGTTGTTTCACTTCATCATTTAAATTTTTTCTGCCTTCTTCAGAATCCTCACGTACTGCTCCTGTGCCTTCAAGATGATCACTGCACTTCTCCTGCCTTTTATTATCCGAATATTGTTCTCTCATTTTAATATCCGTCTGCAGCTTTGCCTCTTTGTTTATTCTCCTTTGGGTATGTTCTCTTTCATCTACTTGATCTTCATCTGTTACTTCAATTTCTCTACAATGGTTAATATCTTGTACCGTTAGAGCTTTTCCATTCTTATAATTCATCGACACGGTGCTTTCTTCATTAATCGTCTTTGTCGTATAATACGTTGATTTATTAGGTTGATTATCATTAATACGTGTCTTTGTCATCGTTTGGCACGTAGTTTTCTGCTTGTCTTCATTTTTATCTACCGCAGTGTTTCTGTGGCAATCTTCCGATTGATTATTTTCAATATTTATTAGTTTCTCTTTTAGACACTTGGATTCTGTTATATTACTTGATATTAATCGGTCAGATATATTGACTGGTATATCAGTGATGATCGACGCGTCAAGTTCGTGCTGACGTTCGTGGACGTTGGAAGACGTTTCGTCCTCGTTGTCCAAATAGAGCGTGGATGGCGGTGTAATCGATTGTAGCTCTGTGAGACTATTGTTCGACAACGTTTTCTTTAAAAATCCATGTTCGTTTATCTTGTTTAGACTATCCCTGAAATTTGAGTCAGATACCTGCGTGTGATCCGCTATATCCTTTACAAAACACTCCGTACGTTCGATATCATTTACATAGTTAGGGTTAGCACTCGGAAGTGACGGTATATCATTCTCCTGAGAAGATTGAACTTTTATAAAAGAACTGCAAACTCTTTTTCGCGACGATCTTTCGCTTGCGTCAGACCGTCTTTTTTCCCCACTGGCATTTTCTAAGGTCGCATTTAAAGAGTGATCTAAATTAACCGGTGGAGACTGAGTAACGACATCGTCAGATAATTCATTGGGTCTAATATTCTCTGCTTCTACAATTTCCCTTGAACGTATAAAATTTTCTTTCGTTGCGCCCTTGTTAGATTTTGTTCGATTATTATTTGCCATTAGATGTTGGACGTCATCATTTTTAGAAATAATCAACGTTTCCGTTTGATTTACCGTCACGTCTTGCCAAAGTTGTAATGTTGATGGGACTGCAGCAGTAAATTCTATTGATATATCTTGAATTGTTTTATTTGCAGCCGTGTCAGTTTGGAATGCTACACCCGCAGAATTTTCAGCAGGCACGGAAGTTGTTTTTGGTAATGTTTGGGAAAATGTAGATTGCGTAGTAGTGTGGGTAGTATTAAATGTTTTCTCATCGTGCAAAGAAATCGGGACAACTTCGGTAAATTCCATAGATTTACACAACAATCTGGTTCCTTCGTCAAAGCAGGTTGAATCGTTCCTATCTTTTTCTCCATTATTCTCTTTGGATATTGATTTACAAATGATTGGCTGGGTACGCTCGTTTTGGTTTCTCGACGACACTGCTGCAGTTATTTCCATGGATACATTATTAAAGAGCATAGTTTTATCATCCTTCGATCTTGATTCATCAATTTTTAAATTCTCTTTGTCACGGTTTAAAGGTAACATATTTACTGCGTTCGTTAATTCCATTGATGCATCATTCTTATACTCTTCACATGTATTTTTATTTAAAGATCGCGCAACGTGTGTAGCAGGAAACATTCTTTCATAATGCAAAGGAGCTGGAACAGCTTCAGTAAGCTCCATAGACTTGCATAATATTTTAGTTCCTTCGTTAAAGCAGATCGACGTATTTGCATCCTCTCCGCCATGTGCCGTTTCTTCAGATAATGATTTACCAGTGTTTGTATTAGCACGTTCTCGTTTGTTTTTTGTCGATACTGGCTTAGTCATTTCCATGGATACATTATGGAAGAACATAGTTCTATCATCTCTGGATATTGGTTCGTCCATTCTAGACGTCTCCTCATTATAAACACTTGAAAACAAGATGGTACTTACTGGTTTCGTCATGTCCATTAATACATCATTAAAAATTTCAGTTTTATCAGTTTGATAACTTTCCTTTCTTTTACGTATATTTTCATCACAGACATTTTTTTCATATATTTCAAATGGTGCACTGCTACGTCCCATTGAAGTGTCGAAAGCTGTATTACTTGTGCGACATATGCCACGGCCTGTAGCATCTCTAAATGGCTGTATTACAGACGTTAATACCATTGAATCATTGGCACAGTTCATAGCTGTTGCGTTGTGAGTGTTGGCAGCATCCCATTTGGTATTTTCACAATTTTGTAATATTGTCGGAACTTGTTCGGTACGTCCTAAATCAGAAGCACGAGACTTTGCAGATATTGGTATAGCTTCGGTAATTTCCATTGATACATTATTGCAATTAGTAGTATAATTTGTATCTAAATTATTTATATTATTACGTTTTTGTTTCTTTTGTTCTTCTGCGTATGACGATGATAAAAATGCAGGTATCGGTGCAGTTAACTCCATAGACAAATCCTGTACATGTGCCTCGTCTACGTCAGAGTTAACATTGTTGGAACACGATTTGGAATAACATTTATTGGCAACGTTATCCGCATAGTCTTCTTCATCTCTATATATAGTAATACTGCTTGATTTTATATTTTTAGATGTTTGAAATTTATTTGTCATTACAGTTTGCCGAGCTTGAGATTCTTTATCAGGCGATTCTTCATCTGTGTCGCTATACGCAACAATACCGCTTGATATTGCTTGACCTTTGAATAAATAAGACTTGATTGCCACGGCGACATTTCCAAGTTGAGATATATTAGATAATTCTGTGGATTTGACCGAATTAGCAAAATCTAACTCACAGCTTGTCGCGTCATCTTCTTCCATAGTTGTTGCGACAGATTCTTGTGCGACGTGATTATTTACTAGATAGGTGTCATTTGAACATGACGCATTTTCAGAATGACGATGTATACAGTCCGTATTAGAAGCACATAACGCGACGTTATCTTTCACGTCCACTTGAGCATTTTGATCAACTACAAAAGATCCTTTTAAACTAAAATCATGCTCTTCATACGTATTATCCCATACAGTTCCTTGTTCAGTAGAATGACAAAACTCTCTGCAGAGTGACAAAGTATTAGAGAGCAAGAAGAGAGCGAGTTGTAGCTAAATATTACAAGACTAGGTTGACTTACTTGACATGTTTTTTCTCCGCAAAACTAACACGTCTCTTAGCTTTTGATGCAGCTGGACTGTTCTCATTGGACGAAGAATCAAAATTTACATTTTGCAACGGTTGCCGTGGTTTACGTGGCTTAAGAATCTTAAGAATCAACATAAAGAAAAAATCATTAATTTTATCATCAATAAAGATTTATTAATGTTATTAAAATAGGTAGCTTTCTGATCTAAAAAATGAGCTAGAAGCTTTAACCTTTAGACCGCCGAAAAGCATAAATATAGGCTCTATATTAA